CTTGTTTTATTTTATTGTATACAGGTATCAGACTTTATTATATATTGTATATCTTTACAGTATATTAAGTTTGATCTACTCTTAGATATGCCAGGATTTTAACCCTACACTGATGGTGCCATAATTTTCTGTGTGGCGCTCCTAATGACTACTGGCAACTGTCTATCCTTTGCCAGCAAGGCGTTCGTTTTTGTGTACAGGTAAAGCGAATCATGATGTATATACACCTACTTTCCGTGACAGCTACAGCAGTGCCAGTCAGTAAAATGTTAAGAAACAGAATTTCAAGCAGGACTACAGTGGTAGTGTATTTATAATAATTTTAAAAAGAAAGGCCATAATATTATACTTAGGAAGAGTCAGAAGAGTTATTACAATGCTGGATAGGAAGAGTCAGAAGAGTTATTACAATGCTGGATATTTATATATGATACTTAGTATTGATATGATGCAGATATAGTTTATATATATATATATATATATATATATATATATATATATATATATATATATATATATATATATATATATATATATATACTACTATTGCTGCCTTGGGGAATTGATTGCTTCTTTTATGAGTGTAGGTCCTTGGCAATGAAACTAATATCCTATGCCCATCATTCATGGCTAGGCAAGTTACTAGTATGTGCCAGATTGCTAAGAACTTGAGTGCGCAAGAAATTATCATTCTGCTCACCACATCTCTGTTGTTACTTAGTTGCATCATATGCAGTATAAGAGATGGGTTTCTTACTAGATAGAAGTAATTCCTCACCCTTCCTTCTGTTGCTTATTAATGATTTTGTTCATTGATAATCTTGGATTCATGTTATTACATGAAGATTTAATAGGTTTATCGTTGCATTCACTACATTATCTCAGTTTTGGAAGGGGGTGGGTAGATATTACATTTTTAATAATTAGCCCATTGCCCACGAGTGTTTTGTGCTCGATATTGGACCAAGTCTCGGCTGCCATGTAGCTGACTGCTCAAAGGAAGAATTATATTTATGGGAAATACCTGATTTCCCACTTGAAGAGTTTGGCTGCAGCATAGGATTTTCCAGTGAACAAGGCTAAAAGGTAACACTCATTTCCAGCAATCCAATGCAATAACGGATGAAGATAGTATGGGATTATTTTGTAATTGCTTTCTTGATTCTGGTTTACGTGGAATGTGTTCCTTGAAACTTGAAAGATGTGCAAGCAAATTCAGAAAGGATCCTAATTCAGAAATTCCCTCTTTTTTGTGTGTTCCTACTGATGAATTTTATCATTCCTGTTTGATTTTACTTATATGTTTATAATGCCATAATCCATTCTAGATAAGCTGTATTGGCATTGAATGTGTTTACCCTGATAACAAGGGGGTATGATAAACTATCACTGAAATATTGAGGTTGAATGACTAACACATGATATCTGTGTCCTTATCCCAACTGGCATGTTTATACATTAGGGTTTATTGTTAATATGATTTTCCCCATCAGTGTTATTCTTTGTGTTCGATTTTTTAATGATATTAAGATATATATATTTATAGAACATAAGATTGAGTACTTATTATTTGCTTAGTTTTCATGAAAATTGTGAGAGCAGAATGGGTGATGTTTGTTTTCATGTAAAATAAAATACTTGTTTATGTAATGGCAACTCTTTTAGTAAGTGTTGTTTTGTGGCTTCTGTGGTCAGTTGGTAATTGTCAATGCAATTGCTGAACTAATGTTTGTGTTTTGTTAGAGGCAGTTATAATATGTTCAGGAAATGTGGAAGGTACATCTTGTTTTCTGGTGGTAAACTGCAGGCTGTACAAGGAACTGATTGTGTTGTGCCAAACAAAACTAGGTCCGCCCACACACTTGGATATATTCCCACAAAGTTGGGAAGTGTCTAGGTGTCAGAAAGTACCTTTGATATTTATGTATGTGCAAAAAGGAAGATTTTGCAATTTACTTGTGCTTGAGATTTTGATATATTAATTTTACTAAGTAAAGGACGAGCACTACTGCCTAAAAGTTTTTTTTTATTTAACATACATTTCCTTGAATGAAATGAAATAGTATACACATGTTTGCCACAAGAGATATGTAGGTGAGGTGACTTGATTTTACTTGGTGCTTTGGGAAATTGAGTTTGGCTTGTTATGTGCCAGAGAAAAAGTTAGAACTTCTTTTGTTCCTGTTAAGATTAGTTTGTTTTGTACTCAGAATCAGTTCTCTCTCTCTCTCTCTCTCTCTCTCTCTCTCTCTCTCTCTCTCTCTCTCTCTCTCTCTCTCTCTCTCTCTCTCTCTCTCTCTCTCTCTCTCTCTCTCTCTCTCTCTCTCTCTCTCTCTCTCTCTCTCTCTCTCTCTCTCTCTCTCTCTCTCATCTCTCTCTCTCTCTCTCTCTCTCTCTCTCTCTCTCTCTCTCTCTCTCTCTCTCTCTCTCTCTCTCTCTCTCTCTCTCTGTCCCTCTCTCTCTCTCTCTCTCTCTCATCTGTCTCTCTCTCTCTCTCTTCTCTCTCTCTCTCATCTCTCTCTCTTCTCTCTCTCTCTCTCTCTCTCTCTCTCTCTCTCTCTCTCTGTCTCTCTCTCTCTCTCTCTCTCTGTCTCTCTCTCTCTCGTCTCTCTCTACTCAAACTATGTCATCTCTCTCTCTCTCTCTAACTAGTACTGTCATGCCTCCCTCCCTCACCATCCGACATTTATTTACTAACTGGAATCTCAAGAATGTATTGTTCTAGTATGTTTTTGTTCTCAATGTTAATTGTTGATGCAGTTTCCATTTTGTTATTTGCTTTTTTCTTTTTGATTTGGTTTGGCATACCAAATGCTAGCTAGTTGATGTTTTTATGGAAGATGAACACATAACACATCCAGTACATAAAGAAAACATGTTGATATAAGAAGCATTTTATGTTCGAGCCTGTGAAGTTCCACCATAAATGAGTCGGTAGAATTAAGGGTCAAAAGTAAATAAAGGTAGTGCTAGGTGCATATCTTTTGTTTGCAGTCCCATGTAGTTACAAGCTATGTAGGGTTTCATGTGTATTTCCTGGTCCAGCAACAGGTTATCATTTCAAGTGGGATATTGGAAATCATCATTTTGTATCTTTATTATTCTTTCTTTCTGTTTATATATTGCTATATATTGAATCTTAGATATTATTATTATTTTATTTTATTTTATTTTATTTTATTTATTTTTTTTATTTATTTATTTTTTTTTTACTCAAAGACAGTAGTGGTAACTCCTGCAGATGCATTTGATTAAAAACTACTTCTGTTGCAGCTACTAAAATTACTAGTACTGCTATTACAGATGACTATGACTATATGGGTAATAGTAAGTATTGTGACTTGTAGAAAGAAGATAATTTTGTTTGAAAAAAATAGTGTGCTTACTATATTAAGACAAGAAATACTCTTACCACTGCTAGGAACAATATGAATACTATTATTAATGAAGTACCTACTGCTGCAACTACGTTTAGTTCTACTATTTTTACAATTACTATCCTTACTGCAACCATTACTACTATTTTACTACTATTGTCTGTGATTTGCACATTTCAATCAAGACTTCCTGATATCAAGTTCAAGAAAAAACAGAGGCCTTGAAGCCCACCCTGTCAATCTAAAAGTTTAAAACAACTCTGTTTGCTAGTTCAAGATATTAGGAAAAGAAGCAAGTGGCCTAAATGCTCATCAAAAATAAACATACTGCCTCATAGTAGGGAGACCTTCACTCTTTCAAGAATAGCCAGCTGTCATGCTGACTTTGTAGCTTGTTGCCATACAGGCAGAGCAGGCGTGGACTGTACTTTTTTATTTTTTATTTATTTATATTTTTTTGAAGGGGAATCTATGCCATTTTCCTGTAATGCTTATCATGATTTCATAATACAGTAATGAATATTTACCACTGTTGGATAGGGGCAAGTCGACTGATAGGTATGTAGGTTGATGGATGGATAAATGAAAATAGATAAGAGATTAATATATATATGATTGTTAAACAATTTTGTTTCTGGAAAAAACAATGTTTGTGTATGCCAAGGGATACAGTATTTTGACATATTTCTCTGCACTTATTTTATATCTGGGAATGGAGGGAGGGAGAAGGAGAAAGATTGAGGGGTCATCGGCAAGGCAGAGTAGACACTGCTTTCACGTGAAAATATTGCCATTATCACAGATCATTGTTGCTATCTTGCTGTTATGATGTTGATATCTAAGTGTATCTCCTTTTTTCATTGTGAGAATAGTGGCCATCTTTGAATTAATTCTTGATGTGTGGGAGACATAACAAACCTAGATGAGGTTTTATCATTCAGTCTTTTGAACCCTTGTCATGTAGTCTTAATATTATGTAATACTTTTATTGCCTATTTGTCATGCTTGAAATATTTTGATTCATGGTGTTTTTCAGACATGGGTGCCAGGCAATTGCATGGTCCCCTTGAGTTTGGTTTGTGAATTTTTTACACAGATGGCAAACAGGATTTCTGGCTGACCTTACCTGATATCCCCATAACTTGAATTTTATTTCCTTTCTTTTCCTAATGCTGCTGATATCATAACTTACTATTTGAGATTGTTATTATTAACATTGGGATTATTATAATGTTTACACCAGTGTTAATAGCAATAAGAAATTGGAAATGAAAATGAAACGGGCAAGATCAGGTAAAACTAGTAATTGACTTATTGACTAAGCTCTTGTGGAGCTGTGTGTGTGTAATCAAAATTAGTCAGCTGAAAACACAGTGGACATGTCTTCAGTTTTGCAATCTCGGCATCAGTAGGCAAAGAATAGCAAACGTAATCCTCCCACTCACATTTAATGAGGGTTTTACTGAAAGTGAAATATGCTATGATTTTAATTATGATGGTCCTATTACTTTTGTGCAAGCCTTGTTGATAGATAGATAATATATATATATATATATATATATATTATTATTGTTATAAATGTTATCATTAGTCAATTAACATACCTCCCTCTTCTTAATGCAGGACTGGGTGGCACACCTGGTAACAACATGAGCAAACCATGTGGCGGTAGCAGTAGTGGCAGTGGGGGTTGCCAAGGTGGGGGGGTACGCACTAGGACATATCCCTCAGTGAGCTCAATGGAGCGTGGTGGAGGAGGCGTTACGGGCAGTGGTAGCAGTTCCGCCTCTGGATTCCCTCGGATGTCCCTCAGATCTCTCTTGCTCAACAGTCCTTTCTCCATCCGCACAAGGTCCAAAAGGGTCCGCACTCCAACCTCCTCTCGTAAGTATTTCTTTCTCTCTGGTAACACTACGTTATATCATATACATTTATCATCACGTGGCCAGTGAACAACCTAAAGTATTCATGCTGATCTTTTTGAAGCAGAAACTATGTTGAGAATTGTCCTGTCATTATTTTGGTTGATTTTTTAATGTAAATTTTCTTTTTGATGTTAATGCTTCAACAGATAAATTGACCATAGAACCAGAACGAGATGCAGATTCTTTGGGAGTCTTCACAGAGGGAACTGGGGAAACCACAAGCTGGAGTTCTATCAAGCGGCATACAACCACTAGTAACAGGAGTCGCATTGGAAGTCGAAGGGGCTCCGTGGGATCCCGGGGAACAGCAAGGGCAGAATCATGCTCATCAGAACCAGTAAGATTTTGTTTTGAAGTGCAAAAAGCAGGACTTTTAATAGTCTAACTCCTGCAAAAATATGTAACTGTTACCATTTGTTTGTATTGATTTACTACATATATGACAACTTCAGTATTCTTCATTATAAAAATCTGATTCCAGGGAGCTACAGCAAGCAGCTGTGGCAATGTCTCAGGGGGTGCAGGAGCTGGTGCAGGTACAGGGAGTACCTCTGTAGAAGGCTCATCAGAGGGAGTGCGGCGTGAATGCTCCTTGTGTCTCCAAGAGGTGTCGGCTGATCTCTTCCCGACCCTTTTTTCATGCCCACACTCTGCTTGTCTTCCCTGTTTAAAACAATATTTGAAAGTAGAGATTACAGAATCGAGAGTTAACATTAGCTGTCCGCAGTGCAACGAACTCATGCATCCCACAGGTTAGTTTTTGATCTTTGTGTCATATTCCATGCTTCACAAGAACCAAGTTGGTATATGTGTATATATGTATATATTTTTTCTTCTAATAATTAGATGTTTGGCATATGCCTGTAGTTTTAACTTTGATAGTGTTATAAATAACTACCTACTTGTTTTAGTAATTTGGCAAGATGTTTTTGTTATATGATGATATGTTTAGAATTTAGGTGAGATCAGTTTATGAATGAGGTCTGTGTAGTAATATTTTTTAGAACTCCTAACTTTGTGTATAGTAATGGGCTTATGGATTAGTTGAGGTTTCATAGTGTAGAGCTCCTTTCTATTTCTGTTTGTTCTCTTTTGGCTGGGAGTAAAATCCAAATATTTAAGCTGACAACATAAGTATGAAGTTTGATAAGTTCAGGAGGAAGATTCTGTTATTAGTTTTGTAAAATGTTATTTAGACCAAAGGAGGAACATTTTTTATGGGCATGCAAGACTAGATTGTAGAGAAATGTATCTCTATGATAAATTGATGAAAATAACCCTCTGGTTTACTTCTCTCTGTCTCATTGGAATTTATTGGCTTTACATGAAAAGGTTTCAACCAGCATGAATAGACATAAAGGTAAATGTCAATGAGGTCAATTAAGAAACATCCCTTTACTTCCACAGATATTCATCAGATTGTTGCAAATGATTTGCTATCAGACAAGTTTGAAGACTTCATGTTGCGCAGGGTGCTATCCATGGACCCAGACACACGGTGGTGTCCTGCCCCAGACTGTGGGTGAGTGGGAGTCACTAATGAATATTCTGCTTATAATCTGTCTGGATGGATCAAAAAAGCAGGTTGATTCATTTGCACTGCTTAAAAGTGATTGCTGCCTTATGAATAATCATCATGAAGTGAGGAAGTATTAATCAAACATGTATTGCAGGTTTGCAGTAATTGCAACAGGATGTGCTGGATGTCCAAAGCTGAAATGCGAGCGTCCTGGCTGCGGAAGCTATTTTTGCTACCACTGTAAGGCTGAATGGCACCCTAACCAGACCTGTGATATGGCTCGAGCTCAACGTTCACCCAATGTTCTCCTCTCATCATTCAATTACCTTCATGACATTCAGACAAGTGAGTTGTTATTATTTATGTCTTTTATATCCTGGAATTTCTGGGTTTAGCAATACTCCTGCAAGTAGCATAATCTTTAATTTTGTTTTTTCTATTGTGCAGGTAGAACATTTCCTTGGTTTGACTTATACTTTGCCATTTCCATTCTGGCTTCCTTTTGTAAATCAAGTTTTTCATAAGAAAGCATGTACTTGGATTGTAGTCTTTAAGTTGTAAAAAAAAATTGAATCTAGAAGTAATACATACATATATATTTCTTTTTTAGATGACGATGTCAAATCATGCCCAAGATGCCAAGTGTTGATTATGAAGATGGATGACGGTTCCTGCAACCACATAACATGCAGTGTGTGCGGAGCAGAATTCTGCTGGCTGTGCATGAAAGAAATTTCTGACTTGCATTACCTAAGGTTTGTTTGTGTCTTTGTTATTGTTGACTAGCCATTGAAATGGGCATTTGTAGTTATCCAATTGTTGAAAGAGGCAACACCAAAAATAATAATCTGACTCTGCATGGAAAAAACAACCAACTATAAGTATGAATAATGTTTTTTTTCCTTGTATGTTCAGCCCATCAGGGTGTACCTTCTGGGGCAAGAAACCATGGACAAGGAAGAAAAAGATCTTGTGGCAGCTTGGAACACTAATCGGGGCTCCACTTGGCATAGGGCTTGTTGCAGGCCTAGCTGTCCCTGCTATGATTATCGGTAAGAAAAGGTGTTCCTGCAGGTATTTCCCATACTTCTTTGCTTTGTGTGCATTTGTGTGGGTGCATGTGAGTGCATGTGTGTATGTGTGTATGTGTGTGTATGCAGTGGGTGCAAGTGAGTGCATGTGTGTGTGAGTGTATGCTTGAGTGTGTGGGTGTGGTGCTAGGTGTGGTTGGGTGTTTGTATAGATATTGATAAAGATTTTATAGATATATAGTCTTATCTTTTTTATTTAATTTCTTCCTTTTCCTTTTTTAACTCTTCTTTCATGCTTTTACAATTTCTCCAAATATCAGCTTTTTTTTTTTTCTTCTTCGTCTTCTTTTTTCAAAGCATAATGATCATCAAATTATTTAATTTATTTAAAATAATCTTCTGTACTGACAATTTTAAAGGATGATAAAATATACTTTCATTAATATTTCAACAACAACAAAAAAATGAAATGTATATAAAAAATTTTATTTGCATTTACTTTCATAGGGATCCCCATATGGGTTGGACGCAAATTGCACGCGCGATACTCTAATGGTAGCAGGCATCGTCGAAATTTGGCTGTAGTTGGTGGTGTGACTGCTTCAGTAAGTAGAGTTTACAAAAGTGTATCTAGCTATGTACAAGGATTGTCTAAAAAAAAAAAATGGCGGGCATTATTTGACACATTGGCTCCTGGTACATGCACTTTCCATTGTAGTTTTATTTTGTCAATATTGTTTTATATAGATGGCTGCACAAGCACACAGTGTGCCAAAGGAGTCAGTTTCTTACACACTTCTTTATCCAGATCCTTGAAATTTCAGAAACATGTTTCTGATACTTTTATATGTCATTATATAACATTTTTATTATTGACCTTGATATTTTTAAGACCTTTATCAAAAATACCAATAGTAATGAAAACAAGAACTCCTCTCGTTGACAACTTAAAGGAATAGGGTAAATAGGTATGATTAGGTAGGCCAGATAATTGACTCTTGGGTGTTTAAGTATTTCTGTATTCATTTATGTATAAATAAAGTTGATAACAAAAAACACAGTCAATGTCAACTTATTAATAATTGCTTGTCTGATAATCTATATTTATATGTATTTGTTTTCTTTATACTTTTACAGGCTGTAATATCACCAGTGCTTGCAGGATTAGCAGTGAGCATAGGTGTGCCAATTTTATTGGCGTATGTGTATGGTGTTGTCCCAATATCTTTGTGCCGTTCAGGAGGCTGTGGTGTTACAACTTCAGCCTCTGGTGTTAGAATTGCTTTTGATGATGAAAATGACATGGTATTTGGATTACCTGGAAGACAATCAGGTAAGACATAGTTTCACTTTGGTAATTGACAGCACAATGAATTATGCGAAGCTGTGAAATTCTGTAGTATATTTGTTTGACTGCTCAAATATTCTTTTCATCCATTACATTACTTACATTAATTTCTTTGGGTAGTAATATACAGTGGTCCAATTTATTGATCGTGAAATCTCTCTACACAGAATCAAGCCATGTGGGAGGTGGAACAGCCAGCATTGGGGAGATGTCTTGTGGGGCATCACTCTCTGCGGATTCTGCTGCACATGTCTTAGCAGAAAGTGACCGTGAGTCTGCCAGCAACACAGCCATTGCCCCAGCATCCTTGACAGGCTCTATAGCTTCCTCATGCATCTCTAGAACAAACAGGTAAATGTAACAACAGAATAGACTTATTTTTGTTTCCTTTGGTTCATTAAAGTGAAGTAAAGTTTTTTCCAAAGATAATTAGTACTGTTTTGTTATTGCTATTTCTGAATCTTGATAATGATTAAAATTTGTGTATGTAAGAGGCTTACATACTGATGCAAGAAGTAGCATCTGAATGAGATATTAGATAAAATACAAGCTGATATTGAAAATCTATATTAGAAAGTTCCGTGCTGTCTAAAACTCGTTGATTTTTTAGATCTGTAAGATGTAAGCAGTGAAAATGTGTTTAATACTCCTATGGGTTCTTAGAACTTGGGAGTATTTCACTTATGTGTCTTCAGTGATATGTTGCTTTTGTGTTTTAACAGATTGGAAGTTCATGTAGATATTGCACATGGTGCTCGTTCAATCGCCAGTGGGGAAACTGCTTCATTAGCAATATCAGAGAGATCAACCCACACAATGGACACAGACAATGCATCAACCCGGGCTTTAACTGGTTCTCTTTTGCAGTACAAGGTATGCTTTATTTTTTCTTGATATCTGTAAGCATCACATGTGAAGTTTTTCTTTTCTTGCATTGATTGATTTGATCTTCCTCTGTGTCATTTATGTCAAATTATATGCATTATGCTGTAAACAGTGACATTTTTTTGAAGTTCAGACCAGTAACATTTACCTTGGCCTTTAAGTATTAGACATGTAAATATCCGTAATGGTCCCTTTTCTATGTATACAACTATTTTTTTGCCATTAGTTTAACCCGTGTCTTATTTCGGCAGCCGCTTGGTCTGCCAAATGGGGTACATATGTATGGTTCGGGCATGTGCTCCAGGTTTATTTTGTTGTGCTCACCTCAATGACTTCCCAGCCACTTGCCTAAATATGAAGAGCACAATGCCTTCAACATCAACTTTTACATGCACTCAATTTTACATGTTTTTACATGGTCACTTTTTTTACTTTATCAATGTAATAGTCAGTTGAAATAATAGTGAATATTCCAAAGAAATTAATGAATGAAAAATAAATAAATATATAAAAAATGGGCAATAATAGTGAATACTCCAAAAAAAATAATGAATGAAAAATGGGCAAGAGAGAGAAGAGAGAGAGAGGGAGTGAGTGTCAGAGTATATGGATTGACTGACTCACATGAGAGGTAGAAAGGTAGACATAAAAAGAAAGAGAAAAGTACAATGTATTTGAAGCACATATGTCATGTCATTCACAGGTTTAGAATGAGTACCCTCAAATCTGTCACATGTAAATGAGGTCACCTGCAAGTGTAGTCCAGACTGCCATGTCATCTATAGGATTGGCACCCATGTACTAGGGTTAAATACTTAGTCAGTATCACTATTTGTAGAAAAGAAATGTGTGCAGGACTTATGAATATAGTGGTTGATCAAGGACCATTGAGTTACCAAAACTTCTAAAGAGATTATGAATTATGTATATTTATTTTAAACCTTTTATTGCATAGGGTCTCTTTAAGTCCTAGTGTAAATTTAAGCAAACTTCCAATCTAACAGGTATCAGAGAGCGAGGCTGAGGAAGAAGCAGGAGCAGGAGGGGACAGTGCCAGCAGGGTGTTAGAGGACGGGGTCGGTGTAAACCCTCACATTACCAGCCTATACATCCACTCCATTCCACCCTCGGCAAGTGATAACAACTCGGCTGTCTTGACCCATGATGCCAGTAGTGACCAAGGTGCCACAGACTTACGACTAGATAGTGTAAGTGCAATAATCACTGCCAGACAGTTTGCTCGGCGCCACAGTTCCTCAAGCAAGGGAGTGACCTTTCTAGGAGACAGCTGCGAGGCCAGTGACCATGTCGCTCTCACTTTGGATGATGATGACGAGCATGAGAATGGGTCAGACAGTCTCTTTGGTAATGAGGAGATTCCTGGAAATTGTCCAAATATCACTCCTATGGTGGATCTGCAAAATGAAAGTGAGAGGGCAGTTACACACAAAAACCCAGGAGGAAGGTTGTTGCATAAAAATGTTTTGTTCAGCAATAGCACCTCTACCTTGCCATTAGTCCATGAAAGCCAGAGAAAAAAGAAGAGCAAAGGAGAGAGCAGCAAGCGTCGAGCATCCAGTGCAGAAGGCAAAGTGCGGAATTCCAGTAAACCAGTGCGATGCGAGTCCTTCCCCAAGCTGGAGAGCCAGTGAGTCTGTGATAATCGCATCTTCCTTTATATTCACTGATGGGTAAGATAAGGACATATTAAAAATCTTCAGTGTGATATCCCAATTGGGAAGCTTTACATTTAGTATGTTTAAGCACAAAGAAAATATATTGAAACTAGTTTATTGTATTTGGAGACGCAACAGGTCTGCATTATTTTAATTGACATTTTGGGTACCAACTCTTGGTTCATAAAATCTCTGCAGGAGGTGGAGTTATATATTAGTAAAGCATGGTCACTTTTTCTATGTTGTTATTATTTTGGTCAAATTAGCCATGTTGAAAGAAATTGGTATTTTCTTGCAAATATGTTCATGAGAAAATTATGAATCTTTTAAGATTAGAAATAAATTCTGGGATGTTTCTCCTTTCCTCCCTCTCCTTCCTCCTTCCGCTTTCCCCCCTCCTTCTTCTCCTCTCCTCTCCTCACTCTTCCTGCCATTCTCCTCTCTCCCCTCTGCTTTCTCTATCCTCCCTTGTCTCCATCCCCATCTTTTTCCTTTGCTTCATTACACATACTTTGTCTTTGGTAAGCTTCCATTTGTAACTGTATGGATGAAATTCTTTTTGTGTTCCATGGAGCTTTCTGTGCTGAAAAAAGTATTTACTAACATAGAATTCATGTCTATTTGAATGAAGATGATTACAATGTTATAAATGTGTTTAGTGTATATTGGCTATCCTTTTTCTTTTCTTTCTTTCTTTTTTTGTATCCCCTTTTCTTCATCATGGGTTTTAATTAAGGTGCATATTTTGAAGAAGATGGTGATAAGTGCAGGTTCCTGAGTTTCTCAATATAACAACTTGTCAGCATAAGCAAGTGTAGTGTGAGGAGCATTCCAGAATTTGGCCGTGCTTTACTCCAATAAAACATTCCAGCCTCAGTGTTATTGTGGATGTAGATACTGTACAGTTTATTAATAGCGCTGGCAAATATTTGTACCTTTCTAGTCGTTGCAGAATCATGAAGCTGTGGACTTTGTGTTTATACCGTAGTGTAATGATAGACAGTGGATGTTGCAAGTGTACTTTTTTTGCACTTGATTCATGGAATTTTCTTAGATGTATTTGAATATGAGGTTTTGTGATTAAAGCAGAAAATGCTTCAAAATTATTGCTCCTTATAGGCACAAGGAAACTGTCCATAGCATTACAGTGGATCATTTATCTTTTATAAATGTTTTTGTAAAGCAAAATGCCTTGCTTTTTAAAGTTTGGAAGTAAGCATATGGGTATACTGATGTGAGTTGCAGCTGCTTTCCATCTAATTAGTTGCAACAAGAATTACTTCTCCTATGTGCATTATCTGCATGGAAGTGCCACACAACTTACAACTGCATTCACTCTTTACAGAAGAGAAAGGGTGTTTTATGCAGGTAAAGAAACAAACACAGATTTGATGTCTGTTGTTGATTTTTTTTTCTTTTTATCTATATGAATAAATGTATAATATATGTATATTAACATAATGAACAACATTCTTAGTATAAATTAAAGATATCATTTTTATTTACCCTTTCCTTTATGAAACGTAAGTGTATGATAAACTAGTATGAAAGACAAACATACTGAATAACAGATGTGTATGCACAGATACAGATGCTCCTAAACAGAATCACTTATATTTACAAGCCCTCATTCAGCTCAGGCCTCATCTCCCATCTTTCAGCTCATTTGAATGCAATCATTATTTATATAATAACAGACTTATTGATCAATGTAGGTACAATTGCATCATGATACATCCTAACCTCTTAGAGCATTGAGGTGTACTCTGCTCTCACAATACACTTGTAGAATAAACACAAGTTGTACATGTTATCTTGGAGAATATTTATAGTTTCTTCTGGTTGCAGTCCATTTTTCCCAAACAGTTACAAGATGTAACTTAATATGGTTATTATCCCATAAGGCTTTTTATTAGGTGCTATGCAGACAAGTACCCAGAAACGACCAAGTTCACTTTTTTTTGTAAAAATGGGTATATGCAAAAAAACAAACACATCGGGAGAATAATGAATGATGTATAGATAAGTCGAGATAAAATAGGTAAATGAAGAAAAAAAAAAAGATAAAGGAAAATGCTTTTAATAAAGTTAACAAAAATTATGGCATATTTCTTCCATGCAGGTAATTGCATAACATGGTAAATGTGTACGTGATTGTTATCGTATACCTATAGTTAATGAAATTAACTGTAAACCTTAAAAAAAAGTGGAATGAAAATGTATTCAGTAACCAGTAAAATAACTTCAGAATATTTGGAAATCATTATCATTTTGATGATGATGATGATGATTATTTTCTCTGTGGCTTTACTAAGATATTGTTGTTTATGTTCTTACAATAACAAGAACCTGTGAAATTGTCAGTATTCTTCTAAAGAAATGTCAGGCATTAATAAACCTTTTTCTTCATTTGATGTATGTAAGGTTCCCCTCTTATCAAAACTAGGAGTTTTTAGAGGAGTGAGGTTATAAGGGGTAATTCATACATTTCCTAGAGAGAGAAAAGTATTGCAAAGCAAAATTATACAGAAACTACAATGAAAAAGGAATTTTAAGAAAATTGTTTTGATTGTAGGAATTCTTGAACTTCATTACTGAATCATAATCAAACCCCTATACACTGTCTTTCATGCACATCTACAGAAGCATATACAGATATGTTCATATGGAGACATACATGAATGTTTGTGTAGGTGCTTAAACACACATGCACACGCACACGCACACGCACACGCACACGCACACACACACATATATAAACACACATAAACACACACACACACACACACACACACACACAGCACACAACACACACACACACACACACACACACACACACACACACAACACACACACACACACAACACACACACACACACACACACACAACACACACAACACACACAACACACACATTTAACATGGAAACACACACATTACATGGAGAAACACACACACATAAACATTAACATAGAAACACACACACAATAACACACACATAAACATATAAACACACACACATGTAAAACACACACACATACATATTTTGCATTTATAAAGTTTCATTTTTTCCAAAAGACTGAACTAGATTCAACCCAAATAGGTAATTAAAGTCAGCAAGTATTATATAATGGATGTGACAAAAGAAAATAGCATAGTATTTGGGTGAGAGGTCCACAGTGTATTCAAACTGGTTAAATTGAAAAGTGATATTACACCATTTAGAAACATTCAGCCTTCTGACCTCCATGATATACACTTCACAGAATATCTTATTTCTGTTAAACAGCTGGCATTGTGTGATGAAAAAGAATTGTTCACAGCTGTCAAAAGAAAGAAAATAACATCAGTGTGGTAAATTTTGAACTAATAGACGCAAAGAGTAAAGTCCAGAAAAGGAGTGGTAAATGTTAAGTAATGCCATTGACGAGGGTAGCTCAGTTAATAACAGGTGCTAGAAAAACGTGATATTGGTGCTCATTTAATTACTTCCAGTGACATGAAAAGGGATTTTGAGCAAATTCAGCAGTGATTAAAAGGTCAGCTGTAATTGAACCAACTGCTATGTTAAGATATATAATTCAGATGCCCATATACTGAAATCAAACCTATAATGCTTCTAAAACGGAAATTTAAAAGTTAACAATTTCCAATCCCAAAAGTATTAATCTACAAAAGAGATCCATCGTTTTGAAAAAAAAGCAAGAAATGAAAATTATAGCAGGTTACATGTATGACTAACATAACCATTAAGAAGCCTTACATAGACATAAAGAGCCGAGTTCTCTTATTTCCTCAACTGTCTGGTATCAGATTGGACTGGAAGCCTCAGAGAAGATTTAAACAAGTTCCCTCCTAATGATTTTATATTCTATCATATTGGTTTTGTTGTATAGATTGTGAATGTGATTTACAGCTCAAGTACAGTATTTTAGTGTTTTGTATGTGTAAAACAATGTCTTATTGCAATAAGGACAAATTATTATATCTCTGTATACTCAAAAATATATAATGCAGACTGCTGTTTTCATTCATTCATGCATTTAAGAATGTCGGAACATTTGATTTCCTGATATGTCTTCACATTTGTTCAAAAGAAAAATGGTAGTGATCACTTACAGCTTCCAACCATTGTGTGTTAAATATGACATGTAGACTTCTTACAATTTCAAACCAATTAGAAAAAGTGATGAACTGTTAATGCCTATTTTGTCATTTTTTTCCTTTCTTTCGCTTGTTCACCATTCTTCATTTTACTTTCCTAATTTTCCCTGTATTTGCTTTCTTTGTTGACACTCCTTTTCATAACATCTCATCTTTCACAGCTTTTCTGAACCTATTAGCTCAAATGCACTTCCAACCATCTGTTCTGTTTCTGTCTTGCTATCTATCTATCTATCTATCTATCTATCTGCCAGTTTGAATATAACTCTCTCTCTCTCTCTCTCTCTCTCTCTCTCTCTCTCTCTCTCTCTCTCTCTCTCTCTCTCTCTCTCTCTCTCTTCTCTCTCTCTCTCTCTCTCTCTCTCTCTCTCTCTCTCTCTCTCTCTCTCTCTCTCTCTCTCTCTCTCTCTCTCTCTCTCTCTCTCTCTCTCTCTCTACTCTCTCTCTCTCTCTGCTCTCTCTCTCTCTCTCTCTCTCTCTCTCTCTCTCTCTCTCTCTCTCTCTCTCTCTCTCTCTCTCTCTCTCCACCCACACCCCAGGGCAGGAGTTCATTCTGTAAAGATATTTAATTTTAGTTGACATCTTTGTATGGAGGTATTACATTTTTTCTTCTTTGTATATTCACTTAAAATAGCTAAAAAAAGAAATGTTTACTTCTTTTGGTTACTTCTTGGTACTAATTTTGGTTAAGGATAGATGTTTAGAAAGACTTGATAAGTCGCATCAGTAATTCCCATCCTTACCGGTCTGTCAGAGGAAGTATAACGTTGAAAACATTTTTTTTCCTCTGAAATATTCTGTGCAATTCAGCAACTGCTTCCTTTAGATATAATAAATTATGAAATTGAAGTTTTAGAGTCAATATTATGCAAAGGTTTGCTTTTTCAGTGACATATTTTTCGCATTTCCTTTTTTGTATTGATTTTTGGAGTGTTTCTCACATTTTTTAAAATCCATTTTAACTTTAGCAAGTGCATTTCATCTAAAAAGTTTGCCATGGTATTACTGAAAGTGTCAAGGTTTTCTACAGTTGTCTTCAGATTTAAGTTAAGTGCTGCTTGCTTGTGATAAATGATTCCCTTGGTGTTCAAGACACTATATAAAAAAAGACTGTGTGAGACTTTTGGTCTAGCTGTCACTGCCAGATGTATCTTTTTGCCTCTACAAAACAAATAGATATGGGCATTTTGTGTATTTCTTACAGTAACTTTTTTCCATTGTATTTTCATTTTCTTTATGATTACAGAAGAAATGTTTCTTGTAAGGGACTAAATGTGTGCTTATTGGTAGACAAATGCTTAAAAAAGTAATGAATTGATGCAGTTCTGGTATTAAATTTACTGTGTACCTGAGTGTACTTTAATCACTATAATGGAATTTTGTAGGGTTAAGGAAAGGAATAAAGATTAGAATGTATTAATATATTCTCAAAGTTAAGCAAATAAATTGTGATGTGAACAAAATTTTAGGGCTTTTGTTATTGTTGTTTTTTGTATATTCTGAATAAAGGCATGGTTTTTAAAAAAGGTAAAGAAGAAAACAGCAATACCATTAAAATAGGAAAAAAATAGAACTAATGCTTATTCTCTGTGAATAAGACAGATTATATGCATATCTAAATCTTGAAAAGGGTAACAGCCTGTAAGTTTTGAAGAGGAATACCTGCTGCTGTAGACAGAAAAAATACAATAATCAGCTTTTGCCTGACATATTGTAGATTCATTATACAAATAGTTCATTGATTCATACAATTGTATGGGTAAAATTCTGTTTCCAAATCCATCTGTTGCACATACTGTGCAAAAAATCAGATGAATTTATTTTTATTGGTTAGACTAAGGTATATTTGTATTATCATTTGAATGACTTCCTTATCATTGAAATGATCTTGTTTGTTATATTGTCAAGGTATAGTGTACATAGTATGTATTGTAAATTTGTCACAATAAACATTATATACAAATAATAGTTCACCCTTTCAGTTTCAACAATGGTCAGGTTTCCATTTGATTAAACTTAATAGTATTGCAAAACTAACCAGAACTCGTCTAATACCTAAGATGCTGTATTGAGTGCCAAAATGTCAGATAACAGCCTAGATTTACATCTGTAATTATTCTTGTTAAACACTTTTTTTACAGTAATTACCATTTATTTCTGCAACAGTTAATATGGCATTAAACTGATTTTTTTTTATGTTAAATATAGCATTTTTATCTTTTGGAGCATTTATGGTTCCAGTCAGTCCCTCATAAAACACACATGTATATAAGTTCTGTTTTATTGAAAAGATGAATGATTATTTCTGCTTTTGCTGCCAACCAAACAAAACTTGAAAATAAGCTAATATGTTATTAATGACATACTGGTACTTAGTGGAGAGTATCACAGATCAACAATCACTTATAATGTATTAGTGTAAACAGTTAACAAATATATATATTAATGTAATTTAAACTTAACATTTCCTTAGAAAATGTTCGTTGTCATACAAGACAAAAATTGCATAAAAACACTTTTGTACTGCAGTTATGTGCTTTATAAATGTCTACCCAAATAGCTTGTAAATCAAGAACAAAATATAGCTTTCATTATACAAGATATGTGTATAAAATCACATTTATAATCATATATGTATATACAATATATTTACACCCCAAAGGATGCATATAATATTTACACTGATCTAAAATTCACGTTTCTACATTAAGTCTGCATTAGATGTTACACGGACTTTACTTCTGACTGAAATAGTTTCATCAATAGACACTGAGGATACAGCTGCAGCGTGGATTCCAAACTTCATATAAGAACCTCTTGTAGCTGCCAATGTGATCATGGGCTCTTTCATCCTCTCCCCAGTTTCCGGAATGACACCCACCATCTGGCACCTGTTACACCCTCCTTGAACCTAGTCAGGAGAAGAGGTAGTTAAAATGATGGTGAATAGTGATGGTGATGATGGTGTAGGGATTCTTCAAGGCAATAAGATAATGTGATAGGTATGAAATTTATATGTATCCTTATGCATATGCATAAATACCTTAAATCTTAGCTTGCCCAGTAGCAGTTCCTCCCATGAGTCCTCCTCGTAAGGCTCCCCTCCATCCAGTACCAGGTTGGCTCGGAATCGACTTACGAGTTCCTCCTGGCATTAATAAAATTACACATGTATAAGATAATTTATCTAGATACATCATTGAAATGGGTCCTTACTTCTTTTAAATTAAAAAAGTATCATTTTAAAAACTGATTCCTATTAAAAAATAAATAAATAAAAAATAACAAGCCTGGACTACTTTGTAAAGGATTTTTATTTGTATATGTCTGTAAGATGGAATGCAAGACAAAAACAAAACAAAACAAAAACTTGCAATTATAATGATAAAGCACATACATGTTTTGTCATACACAAGCACCATGCTCTCACATATATACACGCATTGTCACACATGCACCTATGGTCACACCAGCTTCTAAAACAATACACTATGCTACAGAGAATTCATGTCTTACCTCTGTTAATTTTGCAAGTCCTTTTTCTGAAATATCCTGCAGCAGCTTCCTCACACTTGCTCTATGAATCACTAAGTATTGTGATTCATTTGCAAAGGAAAGAGACTCACCTAAAGAACCTGAAAAATAATTTCCATTATCTAGTCTGCATAAATTGTTTAATAAATATTACATTCTATCATTACCTTCATTACATGAAGAATAACATTTCATTCCGAAAGCTTTCACATACATTTGGATTAATTAGATTTGAACATAGATTTTGACCAGATTATGCTAAAGCATATGGTATTAACTGCAAATGAAAAAAAAAAAATAAATAAACATTTTAGCATATTATGCTACAATTAGTTCAAAATGGCTTAAATCTTAAACCTTTGTACAAAACTACTTATATTGTTATCCGCATTAAGGCATGTAATTTTATATCAATGTCTTACTATAACTATACTGTTATAAAATTAAATCAAGAAAGAATGAACTACCATTGCCCTTGGAGTCAAGTTTTCCTGTCCTCTTATTCAGCTGCTGCATGAGCTTCAAATCAGGCTGCTGAAGTACCCGTGAAAGCCAAGCCCCAACTTCTGGTCCACAGTCATGACCCCTTATCCGGTCGCCACACACAACACCACGGCAGAGAGATGCGTCTCTGGTGCTGCCGTCCTGAGGTTCTAAGGGAACTGCAATACTTTCACCTGTGATGGAAAGTAGTTTAGTACTCTGTGATTTCAAATTCTACATGATGCCCTTTCTTTTTCACAACTAGTGGAAAATTATTTAGATTATTATTAAATAACCTGATAAGTTTCTACATGATAACATAATGACATTATTAGTATATCACACCCAGCATTAATAATCCAATGAACATATATAAAAAAAAAATTATTTGTATGATTCTTTTCTAGCCACTAATTCTTATCAAAGCCAAAACTTAAAATGGCTTAAAATGTATCCACATACCTTTGAAAGAAAGCTTAAGAAGTCCATTTATCATGTCAATGCTTGGTTTTATGAGGCTCATAATTGGAAGCCTTTTCTGTGTAAGCGTTGTCCCTGAGTTTGTTACAATCATCCACTGCCGGTCATACTTCAGTCCCTCTTCTCCTATACTCCATTCTCTTACTGATATACCACTGCAAGATTTAACTGGGTACAGAATAATATTTGTGAGTTTAAGTGGTGGTGCAGATGTCACATTTCTTTCATTTTCCACTTGTAATGGTGTGTTTGTAACGTCAGAATCTAAATATCCATTTATGGTTCTCACAGTACTTTCATCGCCATCACAATGTTCCTCATTTCTATTCACAATTTCCAACTTTTCCGATTCTGTCTGTCCTCTCATGTGATGGCTTTCCTTTTCCACTAAACAGGGCTGAACTTCTATCCATGAACTATCAATAATGAGATTGCCTTCCACAAAGCACTCTTTCACCATTTGGAGTAGCTGGTCTGCATCTTTGTAGGAGTTCATGTAGCCAAAACTTATCCTCACAGACCCAGTCGGAAGACCCTCTACCAGGTCATGTGCATCTCCACATACATGTCCAGCCTGTGATAATGGAAATAATATACTGTTAAAATAAGAATAAAAAAGTAAGAAACCTTTTTTTCATGAACCATACAAACATACATCCCTGCATACACATAGGTTAATGTAAAGCCCATTACTACCTTAAACTGTTGAATTAGTGTCTCCTCAGAGATGTCCAAGTACTTCTGGCAGGCTCCAGGATTACACAGACACCCAGTGCGTAAATGAATGTTGTACAAGGAAGCAAATTTCTCCACCTGAAATGTATTATCACACCATTCTATTAACAGATATTGATATATCTGATTTAGAGCTCATCTTTTCCTAAAATGGAAATATTTTAACTACAATCATGAATATTGCTTATTTTAAAAATTCCAGCCTAAAACCTATTATTGCCTCAAATTTATCATAGTTTCACACCAACACAAAATTGTTACACTTCTAATAGACTCCCCATCAGAGAGTGAAACCAAAACCCATTCCAGTTTTACCACACATGTCAAAATGATTTTCTTATTACTGTAGATATGTTTCTTTGTCTTTTTAAACAAATTACTTCGTACAAGGTCTAAATGCACGTTATCTGTATACAAGGCATTCACTTGGTATCAATTCATATCAGCTCTGTTACCTACCTGTGAATATCCAACATAGGTCCCATCCGACTTTAGAATGCTGAAGTTAACAATGGATCCCTGAGTCCTTACATCCCAGTTAGCATCCTTAGGATAAGCCTCAACAACAGGGGCTCCATTCCCATGCCTGAAACTTCGCAGGCTGTGATGTGTGTAGCGGGCTAAGTTGAAAACATGTTGCTGGATGTTCTTCATCCCACCTGAAAGGGAAAATGAAATTCAAAACTTGCGCTACATTTACCATTATTTATTAATACAGTGTAGGCTATTTATCTCATACAGTGTCAGTCCAAACTGTTTATATCTCTCACTGCAGATTGGGTCTGATTATTATGATTACACTGGAAATGCTTTTATACATGCCCTATCCACTACAGTTTCCTTTATCAATTTTGTTATTGCACGGATGGCTCCAAGGAGTTAACAAGGAGTCAACAGTAGGCCTACCAGATTTTACCTAATAACTCCTTTCTTTGAACTTGAGGTAAAAAGGTTTGTTTACTACATTATAATAATAATATAGATGATACCAATTCTAATATCACCAATAATCATGATAGTAACTCTTTGTTCACTAACTGCCACATGTAAACAAATTAAATGAAACAAAAACACAGTAGATAAGTGTATGCTAACCTTTGCAAATACTCTAATATCATCCTTGTGCATTCAGTAGTAATTGAATGTAACGGATATAGCAGTAAGTATGATTAGACTTAAAAGACGAAAATCTTCTAACCTGTGTGATTTTCAATGGTATCAAGCCCATTGCGAACCGCAGGAATATTGAGGAAGGCCAACGTTCCATCTTCAAACCTGGAGTAGTGAAGAGAAGTCTTGGATTCTAAACGCACAAAAATATTTTTTCATATAAATAATCATATCTAAAATCATAAGGATGACTTCACAAGCCATCAAATAGTATCGTCATAATACTCAGATAAATGGACCTAGTGCACATTTGTCAGATGATGTGAGTTACGAAAGCCTACCACAGCCTTGTGTGTTCAGACCACTTCATGGCTAACTATGTCTCATTTTCCCTTGGTGTCTTATCTGTTTATCTCTTTAAACATATGAATTTAATGTCTATAGGAATATATCATTCATCATCTTTTCCCATGTAAACCTATCACATTTGGGTCTAAGTGCTGTATCAACACTTAGTGAATCATTTAGGTGCATCAGGCCAACACCACTGTGAATAATCATTGCATTACTGTCCTACTCCATTATGATCTACACATATGTATTGTTGAGTTATCACACTAAAAAAATAGCATAGGTAGATTTTATCCATTTTGTCTTACTTATCGTGAAGAACAGGCCGAGGCACAGCCACAATCCTCCGAGAGTCTATCATCAGCACTGAACCACCCCCAAAGTAGGTTTTTCCCAAGACTGTCCATGCTCTTTGATGCACCAACAAGCAACCTGTGGGGATGATTGTAGCATGAAAATTAGCCAACAATTCGCTTTTATTTAAGCCATCAATACTATTTCCCTAATATAACATTCAAGTATACTTATATCAGTTATACTTATATTCTTTTAAAGCTAGAAAAGGGACTGCTATTAACATACTATCAGCCTAGAATACCATGAACAAAATGTTGCATATAACTACAGATTATCTATGCAAATACAATATAGCATATAACTAATTTTCTTCTATTTGTTAAAACCTTCATATTCTGTTGACAAATATCTCAAATATGAAATGGTTAACATGATTATAAGAGCCAAGAATCATTCTAACAAAACCTTTCCAGATAATAAAACTGTATGTTCTTGCTGGGAACAAAAAGGGCAGCTTATGTCTTTAAAATCTGCAAAAAAATATTTAAAAAAGCACACATATCAGATTTATTTACAGTCTTCCTCTTCTCTCCCTTTAAATTCATATTACTTTCCATATCTCTTACCAAGGCCTGTTGGATATCCAAAGATTTTGTAGAAGGACACTGGAACAAAATCTGGCTTCCACTGAGAGAGGTCTAGGGGGCAGGTAGCAGTGAATCCAGCAGCATCCAGCACCACATACCAAATGCAGTCATCTGCTGTGTTTTCTGCAATGCCAAATACATTAGTTACTTCATGTGAAAAGGAAGTTTGAGAAGTAAAATCTAATTTTTACGACAAAATGGATTATTTCTCTAATGAGAGATTTTAAAGTGTATCTATCAAGTCAATCAGTAAACCATTCTCTAATTATAAAATCTGTCATGTCCAACTAATAATTCAAGGAATAGTTTCATGTATGAACAGCTCACATATCATTTACCTGGCAAATGAGCATTATTCTTGTTTAAAGGTTGCCTCTTCAAGACAGGGTCTAAAGCACCTTTCTGAACTTTATCTATCCATACCAAAGGAGACTTTACACCAGAAAAATTACACTGGGCACTGTAAGCAAAGAGACAATGCCTCTTTTTCTTTCTGCTGCCATTTGGAGCTCTTACACTATTATCCTTCTCCCTTGCATCTGTGTGGTTAAGATTTGTCTTGGAGGGAAGTGTCTTGCACTTATCTAGCACATGGTGGAGCTGTTCTGTTTGGAGACAATACACATCAGCACCATTAGCAGCAGCAGGTCCCCTCATACCCAACACAGAGGTATGATTCTCCATTGCATACACAAAAGCTCCATGAGTTTTTTCTTTTCTATGACTGTCAAATACTTCCTCTTGCACAGAACTATTGCTGACATGCCCATTTTCCAGCTGGATTGTAGGTTCTGGGTTGTTCTTGCTGATATTGATATCTCCATTTTCAGTACAAGTTTCCTCTGAGCCATGCCAGTTGAAATGCTCTGCTACTATTTTCAGTGCTTGGGTAGCTCCTGATGTAAAAATGACATCATATTCATCAGCAGTTGTATTAAAATGATCCAGAATTCTGAAAAAATATACAAAAATGACTTCTATGAGAAATCATTAAAGATATCAATATTTAAAAAAAAATTATGGTATAATGTTAATCTATGAAAAGGACCATTAAAGTTATCTTCCAATATCAATCTTCACCAAGTGACATCTTACAGAAGTTTAGATTAAATTCCCTAAAGTACATGCTAATCCATATAACATTACTACCTTCAAAATGGAACACAAAATTATCTAAATTTTAATGAAAAGGCTCTGAATTACTTGTGGACTCCTGGTAGATATGCAGCTCAAATCATATAAGACTGAAATCCATTAGCACTTTTTTTTTAAATATATATCCCTAAACATCATGCTTGCTTATCAACCAGGTAACAGTGATAAATACCTTTGGCGAACTGAGTCAACTATCCGGGTTGCAGCATCACTGACACAACTGCGCGAGTGTGGGTTTCCAAGCAGAGAATTCTGGAGTTCTGCCGATGCTGCTTGGATTTGGCTGTCACTGTACAAGGTGGCAGCAGCATGATCAAGATAGTAATGACCTATTAAAAACAAAAACTCCTTGGTAAAGTAAACAAAAATTCAATAAAATAATAACAATAATATTCATTATCAGTATCTGTATTATACAGTAAAATTATTCTTTCTACCATTATATTGGTATATTTTTGTTAATCTGCAGCATCATTTATGTGAATGAATTAAATATGTGATCATTAATATGATTACTGATACTATCATCAGCATCATGATTATTAGTGTCACTATCATTATTACTACTAATTTTAATAATAATTACCATTATCATTATCATTTATATTATCATAATCATTATCATTATCATCATTATTATTACTATTATCACTATTATTACTATAATTATTATCATTATCATTATCATTATGATTACTATTGTTATCATTATCATTAATTTATTATCATTATTATTATTATTAATATTATCACTATCATTATTATCATTATTATCAATATTATCATTAATACTCTCATTACCATCACAATCATCATTAAATACCCTTATCATAATCTTTGTCATTATCATTACTGTTATCTTCTTACTAATATCTATATCACTATCAAAACAGTAAATGTTTTGTCATTTAATATAATCATCAAAATTTCTTGTCATAATGATAATGCATCAAATATATTTTGTGCATAATTTGTGTATTTGTCTTAATGATAAATATTTCTTATTATAATACTCATCATTAAGATTTTCCTTATGATTCTTATGATGACAGTGATGTAGGTATAATAAAGTATAGTAGTGATAATAGTAATAATGGTGATAATGATGATAATGACATTAACAGTAATAATCAAAATAATAAAGATGATGATAAATAAATTAATGACTTGCTGAAAAAATAACAGTAGTATAGTAATAGTAATATCACTAATAACAATAATGAAATAACATTCCTTGTCAATAACTGCAATAACATAACACTTACAATGCTGTCTGTTACTTATGTCATCAAATCACTATATAACTAAGCCTACCCTCAAAATCAAACATACATTTTTTATTACACCATTAAATGTCTTGAGCAATATTATCCAGTATTAGGTCCTTGAATATGACGCTATGGACACGATACTTTTTCACTTATTACCAATATATCTTAAAATAAACTGCAAACCATTCGATGTGCAGTATTGACCTTACCTTTTAGTCTATCAAAATCTTCTTTAATTACTCGCTCAACGTCATAATTAGGTGGGATCTTTAATTTTTCCAGCACTGCAGCCATGGCACTTCTTCACTGAATTGAAACTGCCTGATTAAATGTTACGTCATGTGTAAGCTGCGTGTTTTATCCACAGGTATGGCAGCGACGTGCACTAAACATGTCGTACGTACTTTCCAAAGCTATCAGTCCGTTAAGGTGTTTGACAGATATCAATGCATATATCACATAAAAACAATATACTTATAAAGATTTCGGCAATTGATTATCTAGGTTAAGTAGATAAAACATGTATGTTCTTACTCTTACTAGATTTTCGCACGTCTGGCAGCACAGATTTTCTTTGATTTATAAAACAATACTCAAGGTTTGTTTTTTTCAGATCTGCATTTTTCATTGGATATATGTTTGACAATGAAGATAGATAGGTGATGTGAAACATAAAGAAATGTATGTTACGAGAAAGAAGAAGAGAAATAAGAGCAGAGAAAAGAGAAGAGAAGAGAAGAGAAAAGAAGAGAAGATGGAGTGAAGAGAAAGAGAGAGAGTTAAGAGAATAGAAGAGAAGAGAGCGAGAGAGAGGGATTACAGAGGATAGATAGATGCTATACTCCAGGTATGTGGAATCCATGGCCCTCAGGCCAAGTGTGGCCCGCGGTACGACAAGAAGAATTATTAGCCTGTGAACAGTCATGATGAAAAGTGTGGTATTATTAAGATGCTGAAAATTTACAAAGAACATTTATTTCATATTGTAGAAATTTTATTAACATTACTATTGCTGTAATAGGGGGAAGAAGCATATAAGAAAAGTCACCAAACCATTTCAAACCAAAGACATACCTGCTCTGTCTGTTTACATACATTTCGTTACTATTAATGTCACAAGTAAATTTTTGTTAGCAACATAAACTTCATAAACTAGTACGTATTATTAAACGGTTTTGATGCCGCAGTCCTGTGAAGATGGCTAGATAGACTGAAGGATATAGAGACATAGATAATAGGAAAAAGATAGCCAGATTGCATACATTCACACACACACATACATACATACACACACATGTATGTGTATGTGTATATATATAGTGTGTGTGTGTGTGTGTGTGTGTGTGTGTGTGTGAATAGATCATATATACATATGTGTATATGTTTATGCATATATATGTATATATACATACAAATATATGTATATATACATACAAATATATGTATATATGTATACATATACATATATACACATACAAACACACACACATATATATATGTGTATGTGTGTGTGTGTGTGTATGTGTGTGTGTGTGTGTGTGTGTGTGTGTTGTGTGTGTGTGTGTGTGTGTGTGTGTGTGTGTGTGTGTGTGTGTGTGTGTGTGTGTGTGTGTGTGTGGTGTGTGTGTGTGTGTGTGTGGTGTGTGTATATATTTATATGTATGGTATGTATATATGTATATATGTACATATACATATATATGTTATATATATATATATATATATATATATATATATATATATATATATATTATGTATGCATGTATGTGTGTGTGTATACATGCATAGGTATGTATATATGTATAAGTATATACATACATATGTATATATATAATATACATATGCACACACACACACACACACACACACACACACACACACACACACACACACACACACACACACACACACATATATATATATATTTATATATATATATATATATATATATATATTATATATATATATATATATATGCACATATATATGTGAGAAAAAGAAGAGAGAGAGAGAGAGACAGAGACAGAGACAGAGACAGAGACAGAGACAGAGAGAGAGAGAGAGAGAGAGAGAGAGAGAGAGAGAGAGAGAGAGAGAGAGAGAGAGAGAGAGACAGAGAGAGAGAAGAGAGACAGACAGAGACAGACAGACAGACAGACAGACAGAGACAGAGAGAGAAACCTAAGGCAAACCGCCCGAGGAATTCACTTGTGGTCGCATCACCATGACTCGTGTTTCGTGATCGCCTCCCCCCCCCCCCCGCCTCCTGTGCCGTCCGCTAACCCTGCTTCTCCCTGGATCAACATTATTTCCATTATTATTATCTCTTTTTCTTTTTGTTGTGCTTTGTCTCTTCACTTTATTCTTGTTGGTGTCGATATCATCATCATCATTATTATTATTATTGTTGTAATTATTGTCATTTTTATTATTATTGTGTAATTCATTTTTATTTCATTTTATTATTATTATTGTCATTATTATTATTATTATTGTCATTCTTATTATTGTTATTGTCATTTTTATTACTATTATTGTCATTTTTATTATTATTATAATCATCAATGTTATCATGACCATTATCTCCATTATCATTATAGTAATAATAAGGATTATTATCATTGACATTACTATATTACCATCAGTATCACTGTCATCATTATTATTGTTATCAATATCATTATTATTACCATTATCATCATCTTCACCATTATCATTGTTATAATTTCTTTCAATATCACTGTTATCGTTTTATGATACATATTATATAATTGTTTTTGCTGCCAATTTTGACTGCTTATTCTTTTCATTGTTGTTCATGACATAATTGTCATTATCGTGGTCGTTATCACTGTTCATGATAGATACATGTAAAATGGTATGACGGTCGTGCCAATCTTTAGTAATGCGGCCATATTCATGATCAAATTAGTGTTATTAATATCACCTTTGCGTACTTGAGGTTGTGATAACTTGTACTTCATACGAAAGACAGATGACAGAGAAATTACATTAATCAAAGTTACAAAAGAGAGAATGTAATCTTTTCAACTATTGTTTTCTTTTCTTTTTTGCATTTTGTTAAGGAATAAAAAACACAGGAAAGCATTACTCGTCACGGTGTTTATGTTACTTGAATGTGTTCAGTAGTATTCAATATTAGACTTTTGCATCAAATACGGAACATGGAATTTGGTGCTATTTTGTATTGAGTAATTTTCGTGACGTTGTAGTCAGTGGTGCTTTGTGCTTCGAATCCTTTGATATCCGGTTCAGTGGCTCAAGGTCGGACCTAATTTCGGGTCGTATGCCGTAGTTCCTGAATTCTTGTTACTATCTGGCTAGGCTAATATATTTATGTGTCCTAACTCGGCCTAAAATAACCAGTCATTTCAATAGTTCGTCGAGAGGTCTGTCGGGAAAATACTACAGTTTGATGATTGTCTAGCTGTCGGGCTGCTGTTTCGAGGAAAAATATTCGAAGAGGAAGATGAAAGCTGACAGCAGTTGGCCGACGGCGTATATGAGGAAAGGCCCCTGGAGATGGGCAAGCGTGAGGGGCTTCTCGGCGGATTCGGACTGCGAGTATTCCTGAAAGAAGGAGAATCGTGGGTTAATTCTCAATTCAATTTCAAGTGTGAGGATAGAACGATATCAGAAAATCCAATACAAGGTGATTAAATTTTGAGCATGCGGTATACCAGGCATAGAAAATACTAGAAAGTGTATCTATGCAAATGCCTAACCTTGGAATGCTTTCGTCTCAACCCGTCCATGATGTCGTCGTACCACTTGTGCACGAGGCCGGCTTCGACCAGGCGGCGAATCCCCTGGTCGAACTTGTACTTCCAGGGCGTATTCTTCCTGAAGAAGAAGGCCAGATTCGCCTCGTAGATCTGCTCCTTCACGAAATAGACCTCGTCGCCGTGTCCCATTTCGCTGTAAAGGAGTTTCACAAAGGAATACGTTTCGACGTGCGCGTGGTGGCCGTCCAGCACCATTTCGACGCAGCCTTCCTCCCCGTAGTACTGGGTCTCCACCACGGGGCTCAGGTCCAGCTTGGAGCCCAGGGCGAACAGCGTGGCGTCCGAGGAGGTGGCCAGCGCCTCGGGGACGAACTCGCCGTAGTCCAGCATGCATATCCTGCGGGAGAGAGTTCAGGCTCAAGGGAAATGGCTGCAAGAACAAGATTACATGGAGGAGTGATAGAACTGCAAAAAGTAAATAGATAAATATATAAAAGCCTTCTCGGAATAAAGTAAAATTGATTGTATTAATTGGAATACTCAAATGAGACTCGACGCTCAAGTTCCACCTAAAAAACACATTATAACTCAAAATGGCTTCATTTATTCTGTAAAATTAAAATAGAAGATTCTCCTCTGAGGTAAAATAATATTCTCTGCAAAGGTGACATGTAATCGTGAAACGTGATAATAAGCAGGAAGTGAGGACTAGAAAATGTATTTCTCCTATAATAGCTTCTACTCATGTTACTGCAGTTATCATTCTTCACTAATTATCATCTATCATTATCTCTACTGATCAGTTATCATACATCACACACCTTCACTTATTCATCACTGCGTATTAATTATCATACATTACTATTTATCATCCATCATTCATCATTGTCTATCAGATATCATTCATCACTATCTATCAATTCTCATTCATCCCTGTCTGTTAGTTATCATTCATCACTATTTATCATCAGTCATTATCACAATTGATAAATATCAATCAACACTGTTTATCAGTTATCTTTCATCACAATTTATCAGTCATCATTTGTCTCTATTCATCACTAAGAAACAAGGAACATTATTATCCAGTATCATAAGCAGAATAAATAACACTACCATAATTATCCTTGGCCATTTTTATCCTCTGCTTCTTGCTTTACTCGGTCAGTTAAGCGCAATAAAACTTATTTAGAAATCCAATGGCTACAATATATTCTCCATTCATAATATTTAAAACTAATAATTTATCTAGATATTTACTTTAACTTATTGATATCTGGAGGTGAGTGAGATCGTATTTATAGAGACATTTGTAGTTCGGGAGGTTACTTATCTTGTTAAATAAACCGACGTATTTTCATTCGATATATCACCACCCACTCAATGTACGAGTTATAAGTCTAGAAAAAAAATAACCCTGAATCCCTCGACGGCGAAGTATAACCCCCAAAAAAGGAAAGATGAAATAAAAACATACCCAGCTCAGATCGAATAAAAATAACATTTACACAACCGATATTTATTACCATTCAACCATCGGATCCCGCTAGAGACGTAGTATAACACCCCCCCCCCAAAGAAAAAAAAAAGAGAAAGAGATAGGGGGAAACGAACCTAAATATATTATAACGTCTACCCAAGCAATTTACCTGTAATTTACCTGTAATAAAATTTAATATAATAAAATTTACCTGTAGTCACTATCCGCTAGTTCTTTGATGGTGTGGATCCTCTTCGGGTAAACGGGAACAGTCAGGACGGCGATGAGGTTGCAGGTATACGAAATGACGATGATGTAGGCCGTAATCCACCACACGGCCACGAACGCACGCAGCGGCCAGGGAGCGGGAATCTTTTGTATACTCTGGTTCATCAGGCTCTGTGAAGATGTTGTTGTTGTTGTTGTTAGTGGAGTTGTCACTGACTTTATCTCAACTATATTCTGCCTCAATTGTATTATTGATCATTTTAACTTTGTTATTGATGGTATTAGCTATATTCTAACTCTTTCATTTATTATTAACACTATTCTCTATAAATCTAACTCTGTTAACTATATTATTAACGTTACTCGAACTATTAGCCAAAACCGCCGTGGTGTCTGCAAGTATTATACATTTCTCCGACAGAAAATTAAATATCCTGTTATTTTCTGTCTCATGATACATGTTACAGCAGCTAATCTGTATATCGCGTCATATTATTACGTATTTTAGAATTATTCTGACTTAGAGAGAAAAAAACGTGAACAAATTAAACGTAAAATCTATCGTAATCCACGCATACATAACAAATTTTTGTTTTTCAACAATCAAAAACAGAACCAAAACCACATGAACACTACTCTTTCACTATACCTGCACAGTGAATATAAAGCTCTGAAACGGTGACAGATGTTGTCGGGCGTAACTGAGAGCATAGAGGGTGGCAGCGGTCACCAGTAAGCTGCCGCCCACAGCCGCCCAGACAAGGAGGCTGAACGGGTAGATGAGGTTGAGCCAGCGGGGGAGAGGAGGCGGGATCATGATGCTAAACCCGAAGCTGCAAGGAAATCAAGGGGCTCGGTGGGGATGGCGGAAGAATAGGGGGGGGGGGGAGGGGGGTCTGCTTCCTTGGGACCTTTGTGGCTAAATTATGATCATGCCATTGTGTTCGCAGCCTGAATACATGCATGTTTAATACATGCAGACATACTTACCAACATAAACATAACATACACACACACGCATATATGTCTATGTGTATGTGTGTGTGTGTTTTCATACA